TTAACACAGGGACAACGGATAGCATCCTTGTCCCCAGGGATTCAACTCAGCTTTGTTTTTGTTTTTTTGTTTTTTAAATTTTATTGGGAAAGAGCCATAGTCATTGGTTACACATTGCTTTCATGCTACAATGGCATGGTTGACTCTTTTAGGGAGGGTTCAGTGGCCCATTCGGGGATCGAACCAGCAACTTTGGTGTTATCAGCACCATGCTCTAACCAACTGAGCTAACCAGTTACCTCCCTTAACTCAGTTTTTAAAGCTCTCTGTTCTTCATGGTTAAACCTAATTTCCCAAGTTATCTTTTGGTGACAAGAAGAATGTGAAAAGTAGTTCTGGCCCCCAAATCTAACAGGGTGCTATTCGGCAATCCAACATGCATTTTGTTCTTACACGAATAAAATATAAAGTACAAAAATGTGCTGGAAGGTGCCCTCTTAATCTTGAAGTACATTACATATTCTAGACACTCTGAAAGCTTAAAGGCACGAACAAGCTCATTCTACTTTTTTAGTTGTCCTTTATGAGATCATGAACAGATAGCTTTACAGTTTTCCGACCCCTTTCCTAAGAGAGGGCTTGTACACTATTTCTTAAGTGTCTATTAAATGTTAGCAATATATATAATGTCGATGCCACTGACATATATATTTTTAAGATTTTTATTGGGGAATTGGGGGGAAGGTAACAGTGTTGGGGAATTGGGGGAAGGGGAACAGACAAGCTGCTGTCATCTTGTTCCTCAGTCTAGCTGTGGAGGACGTCGCCCCACTGGCCCAAGTTGGCACCATCATTGCGCTCTTCCCCGGCGAGGCAGATCAGTCACTGGCTTCTAGATGACCGCTCACTGTGGCTGCTGGCCACTCACGCTGGCTGCTGGCTACATACAGTAGCCCATGGCAACCCACTGCAGCAGGGGCTGCAGCCTTCGCCATTGCCGACGACTCACGGCAGCCCAGCTCCCGGTTGAGCTGTTGTTCAGCATCTTAGCTGCAGAGGGCAGTGTCACTGGCCTTCCTATGTGGGATCCGAACCGGGGCCCCCTGGCATCCCAAGCCTGCCCCTAACCATCACGCCACTCGGCCGGCCCAAAAAATATATATATATATATTTTTTAAACTGAGACACCATTACAAATGTCTTGACATGCAACAGGAAATACATCTGTGGTGATTTGTGTGTGATGGGATGAACGTATGTGATATGCAGAATAATGGCTTCCCAAACATGTTCACATTCTAATCCCCAAAATCTATGAAAATATTAACACACACACAAAGGAACTTGCAGACATGATTGAGTTAATAATCTTAAAATGGGAAGATTATCCTGGATTATTCAGCAGGGCCAAATGTAATCATAACGTAAGAGGGAGGCAGGATGGTGAGAGTCAAAAAGAGAGATTTGAGAATGCTACACTGCTAGCACTGAAGATGGAAGGAGGGACCTTGAGCCAAGGAATGCAGGTGGCCTCTGGAAACTAAAAAAGGCAAGAAAACAGACTTCCCCCCAGAGCTCCCAGAAGAGAGGCAGCCATCTTGATTTTAGCCAGTGAAACCTATTTTGGACTTCTGACCTCAAGAACTGTAATATATTAATAATAAATTTTTATTGTTTGAAGCCAGTAAGTTTGCTGGAATTTGTTAAAGTAACAACAGGAAACAAACACAGGCGTCACATTCTTCTGGTTAAGAGTTTACCTCTGTACTTTTGTCATCCGAGAAAATGTCTCTCTCACATATACAACTAACTTCCTCTTTCAGAACACTCAATGATAATATTAATAACAGGTAATAAACACATAAGTGCTCTTCATGGCCAAAGCAATGCCCTAGGCCTTGCTCACTTATTACCTCTTCACATCCCATTACCATCTTGTGACAAGGTATGGTTATTAGCACTATTTTTTTCCGTTAGAAAGCTAAGGCAGAGAGAGGACACAAGCTAGTAAGTGGTAGGTTGAGAACTTAAATTCTGAATCAAAATCCTTTTGATCCCCAAATTTTTGCCTTTATACAAAGACAAGGTCTGAGGGCCGATTGCCACTGCAATCCTTCCTTACGTTCGCATGCTTTTTCTCTCACATTTAGTGTGCCTAGTGTCTTCTCTTATGGGGGGTTCCCTTGAGCTTCTCATATTTTGAAATAAATGAGAACACTGTGAAAACAAACACCATCTACTGAGTATGAGCATATTCCTCAAATACCAATCGTTATATCCCTATGGGAAGCATCAAATCAAAATTGCCATAAAGAATCTTGGTTATGCTCAAGTGAAGAACAGAACAGAGCCTGGCATATCCCTGCAGTTGTGGTTAAAGTGATCACTGTGCAAGCATGGGCTTGATGAGTTTGTCTGCTTGGGCTGTCTTAGGAGAACTCAGCCTTTGGTTCTAAGAATTCCAGAACCTAGAGAATTCCAAGAATGGGAGATGGAAATGATGCATTGCTCTCACTGTGTCTTCTCAGGCAAAATGAATTTTATGAGCTAAACGAAATAGCTAATGAGTTTGACCAGTCTAGAGAAAACTATTCCTACAGCCCAAATTTTCAACAGCAGCAAAAATCTTTTTCCTTATCAGACATCCATATTACTGCCAGTATTGACATGGCCTAGTTGCAATCTACAAGGTGCTGGAGATGAAGAACAATCAAAAACTTGTTAGGTACTTACTGCTTACCCAGCTCTTGACTGGGCTCCAAAGAGTTTTAAAATTGTCCCAGATCCTGAGGAATTTATAATTAATCATTACTAAATAATGTTACAAAAATGGCATATGATGTTTGCAGAACAACACGTCTGGAGATGACTCTTGACTGTGTGCTTATAGTTTAAAATTTATTTTATAGTTTTCCTGAACTGCAACCAAGTCATCAGACACTACTATTTTTATAATTACCCATAACTCCTTGGATACATGGCTGAGAGCCCCAGAAGCTATCTGGCCACTCAGCTGGAAGTTTTTTGTACATACACATACTCATCCAGTGCTGCTTTCTCTCACTGAAGAAACTTGGATGGGACATAGAAGTATAAATCTCAAACCCAGACAATGAGACCATTTAATCTCTTGCTCAGAAATTTATTTTCAGTTACAGGTCCTCTCTGGTTAGTGTCATAGATGAGAGAGAGAGAGAGAGAGAGAGAGAGAGAGAGAGGAGGGAAGGAGGAGGAAGAGAAGAAGGGAAGAAGGAAAGAAAGAGAGAGGGAAGGAGGGAGGGAGGGAGGGAAAGGAAAGGAAAGGAAAGAAAGAGGGAGGGAGGGAGAAAGGAAGGGAAGAAGGATGAAACAAAACAGGAAAAACATTTTTAAGAAAAACTAAACCTTGAATCGTCTTTTTGTATGTCTGTTTATGTCACCGTAGTCTAATTACTGTCACAGCTGTGGATGTACACTACTATAAATCAAGGCAGAAATGACATAAGAAACATCAAGGTAAATACCCAAACTCTTCTGTTGGTGTTTAAAGGAACATTCACTTTGTAAAATTACCAAAGACTCCATTGACACCGCTTGAAACAGAAGTTGGGGGAGGAGGATCCCACCTCTACTCAAATTGCCGCCCCCCACCCACCCCAATCAGGAAAATGTGGAATTTTTACTTCACATGATCCCTGTGAGAAAAACCATTGAATTAATCCCAATTGCTCCAGTTTATGTTGTATTGTGTTGTCTTCATATTTGAACATTCAGACAGTTGTGCTTTCTGGTTGATAAAAACTAAACACAGTTGACAAATTCCTGAAAAACACAGAGAAATCTGTGATCATTTTGTCTTAAGCTATTTGAAATTTTTAAATAATCAAGAATGCAATTTCTCAAAGAGAACTACATGTGTATGTGTATATATACTATAAGTCAAACAGATCAGACATAGTAACAAGGGTGAATAACTGGCCACAGCTGGAAAATAAAGCCATTCATTCTGGGATTTTTCTCACAGGTCAGCAGTCTAGAAATACTCATGGTATCCATCAAGAGTATTTCAATCATGACTTTAGTTAGAACCTTTGCTTGGAGGAGGGGAGCAGACAAATTGAAAACCATTGAAGCTATCCATTACACTTGCAGTGAAAGCTTCAGGCCTTTGTTCATTCACTACCTATCCAGATCCAGAATTGCCTGGATTACCTGGTCTCTCTATCACCTGTCAAATGGGTTGGTGGGGAGACAGGAGGATCAGAGAAACTTCCCTTGAGCACGCTCTTCTCTCTCAAACTGCTTCTGGGACAGGGACTTCTGCTCAAAAAAGCATGACCCCTAATCATGCTGTTACATTACTCAAATTAGCAGACATATTTAATGGGCCAAAAGATTAACGTAGTTATAATCATGCTGAGTGCCGAGTTCCTCTGTGAAACCCAGCCCATCAACCCTGTTTCCACTTCAGTTCCTATTCCATTAACAGCGCTCATGGACTCGATGTATAAACACAACCGTGACTACCATAAAACCGTCACTCCCTCGATTTATTTATGGACAATTGAAGCAATATCTTTCTTTATTGCAGGCCACCTTTGTTGGAGAGTTCTTAAAAGGCAGCTCCTTTCTGTTCTTAGCTCATTAGAAACTGCCCTGAAATGCCAGGGGGACTGCAGGTTGGCATCTTCTGAGGAATGTGCAAATCTGTGCCTGTATCTGACCCCTTCCACCCTCTCGGTATCTCTGGGCGGGTTCAGCAGTTGTTCTGAAGGCTTGGGGTGTTTATCTCCCACGGGCAGCTGAACTGCCTCCCGTTTCATGAGCAGAGCTGTGGAATGCAGTGGAAGAGACCCAGGCCTCTGGCCACCCAGATTAGAGAGTTTTGTGCTGAGGTCCCTATATGGTTGTGTTAGACTGAACGCAGGGCTCAAGTCTGTCTTTGTTCCTTGTTTGGGAAGCAAGTGGGAGGGGAGCCGGCCAAGGGGCTATATAACCAACCCTTCAGCTTTCAGCTTCCCTGAACACCACCCAGAGCGGAGAGGCCCAGCCAGCACTGTCAGGGTAAGTGGCACTGCCCAGAGATGTGACTTACAGATTCTAGAGGCGCTGATTTTACCCAGTGTCATCAGACGTCTGAAGGGATTTGCCTGGGCTCAGGCACTCTGAAATTTCTGAATGAAGATTGTACTACTAAAATAACTGCAGCGTTTGGCTCGAATTATCTAACATTAAAAAGACAGCTAGGAAGCAGCTTAGTGTGGGGGAAGAGGGGGAGAGGAAGATGGAATGAAATCTCTGTGTCACCTGTAAAATCTATTTATACTAAACCAACAGCCCAGATCTTGCAGCACGGCTTCAGGGATGCAGTCTAGTTGTTTGCATTGTTATAATTTGCATAAGTTAGACTTAAAAAAAATATATTTAGGCACTGGAAACTCCAGTATTTGGGGTTAGATTTCATCTGGAAATTCTTCATTAGAGTATATCTTGGTGCAACGAAGGTGTCTGGTAGTGGATTTTAGAAAGGAACAGACCTAGTCTTTGGTATTGGCTAGTTGTACATTTGCTTCTGGGTTCCTTTGACTCTGACAGTGTCTTTCGTGGGAAAGGCATGCCGTGTGAGTGCCTCGGTGAGCTTATGCTTTAGGATGTGCGTAGCGGCTGGTTGCTGGGTCGTGCAGACTGCAGCAGGAAACCAACTGACTCTTTCTCTGAGAACAAAAAGGGAGGGAGCAGAGTGAGAATCTGACAGCTGTTTGTGTCTCAGCCTACTGGGTGTCTGGTTTGCATTTCTCTCAGCCTGCTGAGGCGGGCGGGACTGTGGAGCCAGCCCTGCCACCCCAGGCTGCAGCTTCAGCCCAAAACTCGAGTTTTCACACAGAGATTTTTCCTTCCATTTTGTGATTCATGACTAAATATGGTTTGCGTTTCAAGACCGATGGAACTGGGAACTACAACATTCTTCTCCCCCCTCTCCTCCCACTAACTACTCATTTTTGGCACAAGATGCACTCCAGTCGGTTGGAGCAAAACCCTTGACCCGGGTGCAGTTCCAAAAGCAGACATTCGAGTGTGTTTTACCTAATTAGGAAATGCTTTGCTCCAAACGGAGCTGCTCATACAGGTTAGATAACAGTTGTGAACCACTGAGCCAACTCTTTTCCGGGGACACAGAGACTTGCTCTCTAATGACAGTGTTTGTTTTAGAGATGACAAAATCCCTCCTGGATATTATTTTGCCAAATAAAAGCATGCTTTTATTTTGAGATTTTTTTTTCTGCTTGCTAGCTTATGTCTACTTTTTCTTCAGTGCATTCAAATACTCCCCCAAATCCTCCCTGCCTAACAAAAAAGGTTGTTAAGGGCATGCATTTATGGTGAACATCCCGGCACATTTTCAGAGTGTCCTATTGCAAATATTTTATCCCGTTTTCAGCTTACTTTTGGTTTGGAAAATCTGCTTAGCAAATCCACAAAGAGCCTGTGATCCTGGTACCGGCTGCCGCTGACAAAGGCCTGGGGTTTGCACTGCTTCTGTCTTGTCTCCCTTGCGTTCCAATCTCACATCTCTTCCAGCTTCTTACTCTGCTAGGAAGGAAGCCACGTCACAGGCATGCCCCACCTAATGCAATATCTGGAAAGGGAGTGGAAGGGGTAAGAGAGGACCAGGGCAAGCCGTTTACAAGGCCAGAGCCCCATTCTCACAAGTGGAATCCACAAGGTGAGGCCTACCATCCCAAGCCTGGAGGCAATGTGGAAAGAAAGCAAAGACTAGCAATAAAAAGATCTGGATAATGATAATACTCATATGATTATGGTAATCATAATTATTTCAAAACCAAATATAGAGAACTCATCATGCATATGCCTCCATAAATTATTTTAAATGCTTTAAAACAATCTAATCCCCATAAGAACTCTATGTACCAATATCATTGCTGTTTTATAGATAAAGAAACTGTGATTTAGAGAATGACTAAGTCACACAGCTTCTAAGTGGTGAATCCTGCCTTGAGTCCAAGCTTCTAATCACCGTGCTCTGTAATCAATCTCTATTGTCCTAACTCTACCAGCGTTGTGATCTTGGACGAGTCACTTCAACTCCTTGAGTCTTGGTTTCCATTTCTGTCAATTGGGGATAATAGTAGATGCCCTGGATTTAAAACTGTATCATCTCAATTGATCTGCATGTTCTTTACAAAGGGTCATGCAACACAAGGCCCTGCTCTGGAAGTTCTAGGCATTGAGGAGATGCAGCTTTGGTTTCATGGGAATCGTCTGGCAGAACTCCGACTGTAATAGATTTATTTCCCTTTCTTACTTCCCAGAAATTTCCTTAAAAGAGTCACCTTGTATATCGAGGCCTGTGTGTGCAATGAGTTCACCAACTTAGAAGAATCTTTCTCCACTTAAAATTCTAAGATCTCAAAGTCAGGCAGAGAACTCTGGGTGTCCCTCTCTTTACAGAACCATTTTCACCTAATTCTGCTTGGGGAAATGGATGGGGATCTGGATTGAAAGCCAAGGGTAACCAAGGGGACCTGGTCCCTGGTGCAACTCTCCCTTTAAAGCCCTTTGAGCACATCACTGCCCTTGGGTTTTCTCATTTTTAAAAATAAGAGTATTGGGTAATAGGCTTTCAATTTCCCAAATCTGTAAATTGTTACTTTTACTCCAGCCTTTCAAATTTTGTCATAGGATCCAAGCTTAAGAGTGGGATATTTAAAATATTGTTTTATTACTAAAAGAATACATGCTTTACTTAGAAAACATTACAAACCCCAGGTAAGATAATTAAAAACAACTACAAAACCCACCACTTCAAAATAACCCCCATCGGCATTTTGGTAAATGTGATTACTCTTTTTGCAATGTATAAAAATGCATTTTAATGAGATCATACAATGTGACTTTCTCTAACCTATTACTCTTACATAAGAATATACCTGTAACTTATCCTTTTATTTACCTTTTTAATGGCAGCAAAGTATTCTACTGCATGATGTGTAATTTATTGGACTTACCCTATCTTGTTAGATTTACAGATTAGCAGTGATTTTTATCCATGGAGAATAACTACAGTCACTAAAATTTAAAGCACCTTCTTAGGAAGTTTTGATTCATTCTAATCTTTTACCAAGGGTAAAATGAAAGTTCTCAGGATCCAAAGGAGATTTTTCTTTTAGGCATGTTGCATTAAACATTTCAGCCGTTCAACATTTTCATATTTTTACATGCTGCCCATCCCTTAAACTCTACTTGTTGAAAAAAATTTAAAAAGTTATAACATATGCAGAAAAATGTGAGGTTGGGTGGATACTGACTGCAAATTCCAGATATTTCTTTAACATATGACAAGTGACCTGTCCCTGTAAAGATCTGGTCCCATTGTCTGATATTCTCATCTGAGCTCTCCGGTTGTTCATTCATTTAGTCAATCTTGAAAGTGCTTATGAGCACATGTGACACTGTGCTAGAGGCCAGTTGTATGAACATAGAAGTCAGGGTTTGGGCTTACAAAAAGCTTGCAGTCTAATTAAAGTATTTGGAAATAAATACTGTGTTAGATAAGGGTCAGCTGAGAGAGCTCTGGGGCCCCATACCCAGCCTGGAAGGTGGGAGTGGTCAGGTAAGTGTCATGACTCCTAGGTTACAGCTGGGGCGGCTTCCTCTCTATTCCCAGCAGGACCGTGTGAAGTAGCTCCAGCCAAGATGTGTGAAGAAGAGGACAGCACTGCCCTGGTGTGTGACAATGGCTCTGGGCTCTGTAAGGCCGGATTTGCCGGGGATGATGCTCCCCGGGCTGTTTTTCCATCAATTGTGGGACGTCCCAGACATCAGGTGAGCAAAATTCTGTTTGGAACAGAGAGAATCAGGGCTATGGAACAGAGAGAAACCTCTTCTATGTCTGTGTGTCCATGGCTATACAAAGATTGTCTACTGCTCTCTCTCTGTCCAGAAATTATGTAACCTTGCTAAAAATACACCTCTGATGATTAATGTCAAGAGGTAAGTGCCAATTTCATATACATTGTAGACAGATTATCTGGTGGGTGTCTATCCACATATATCTGTCCCTTTTTCATCTAAATAAAATCATTGTCATCATCACCATCATCATCAGAAACACTTATGAGTTACCTGATGTACATCATACCTACTGTTTGGAGAGAAACTAAACTAAAAACCCACATCATTCATTCTCAAAGAGCACACGATGCTAGATGAGAGTAAGCATTTTTACCAAATGTAATTTTACTTACTTATAGCTATCAAAGAACTATATCTGGACAGCCACATGATAATTTTACATAACTTTATGTATAAACAAAATGTTGGTGGTAGCCACAGGGTAAAAACTGAGGATTTCATCTCGGAAATTCTCCTTCACATCAATAATGTATTTTGCTCATTGAGCCTATCTGATTGATATTTATGGCTCTCAGTTTGGCATATATTCACAAGAACAAATAGTGTAATACTTGCCCAATGAATGAACACTGTCTCTTTGTTGAACTGTGTGCAGTAGAGCAATTTTGCACAAACCACTATTTATAGGTCTATTGTAGCCATGACTGTTTTTGCAATTCTAGAACAGTCACTCTAATGCAATCAAAATTAAAATTCCAGTAATGAGAATTCTCTTTTTTTTCTTTTTTTTTTAAGTTTCACTTTAATGACTAAAAAAATACATCTGACAGATATCTTAATGTTGATTGGTATGGATTTATCCATCAGAAATTAGGCACTGAGTGGTCATTTGTTGACATAATGCTTTTGCTCATAATGGTTAGAAAATCATATTCATATACTCTTGAATAGGCAACAGCTTTATAAGTATAGTTTAAGGGATTTATAAGAGGTAAAATGCCATTTAACTTAATGTAAAATTTCATACATTCATTCAACAAATAATTATTCAGTGACAAAAACGTGCCAGGCAATTTGTTATAGTGGAGAACTAGACAAACACAATCTCTGCCCTAACAGAGATCATCTGGAAACACAGAAGATACAACACACATGTGAAGTTGCATTACCCACAGGGTCCTCTTGTTGTCTGGAGGCTGATTTGGGCCTATTTCCAATCATCTGAGGGGTGTTGCTTAAGAACGTAGTGACCATAAGACTCAGCATATTGCTGTCGGTACTGAAAGAAGAACTTTGTCTTGCAATAATTTAACACTTTGTGATTGGACTCTAATCAATTCATAAGTTCTGAGAGAAGCTGACTTGTCATATGTTGGATCTTTTTAGGGCGTAATGGTGGGAATGGGACAGAAAGACAGCTACGTGGGTGATGAAGCACAAAGCAAAAGAGGCATCCTGACCTTGAAGTACCCGATAGAACACGGCATCATCACCAACTGGGATGACATGGAAAAGGTACCGGGAGGGTCACTGTAGATTGAGCCTCAAACTGCGTAATTCCCGTGGCCCGATTCAAATCATCGTGCTACTACGGGAGAAAATAACTAGTTCGCCTGAAGGCCAAATGTGTGCCCGTGAATGGAAGATCTAGAGTGTGCTGATGGAAGCAGGCTTCTCCCAGCCCTGGAGAGAAAAGAAGGGGATGGAGGGAATGGAGGTAGGAAGCAGGGTGGCCTGTCCTCTTCTTAACATACACGGCAGAGGGCCGTTCCCTTAAAAGTATGAAAAGTGGCAACCAGGTTTTCAGGTCAGTTTCATTCACGCATTCATGTTTTCATTTGTCCTTCTACTTAACTAAATCATTTCCCCATGAATATTAACTGAAGTGCAGGTGAGAGGTAAAGAAGATAGTTGAAAAACATTTACTCTGGGTTAGGCACTGGGCTAAATAGTAACTCCAGGGTTACCTTATTTAATTCTCAAAGACATACTAATTATCTTCTTATTATTCATGGTGAGACTCAAGCTGAGATGTGTTAAAATTCACCTAAAGCTCACACAACCAAGAGCTGGTTGAGGTGGGATTTGAACTCGGTCAAACTCATTTGACTCCAGAGCCCCATTAACCACTTCACCATCGCGCCTCACAGAGCTGGCTCTGGGTTTTTGTTCATTCATCTACTAGATGTGAATCCTTGGGTAAGTTACTCACAGTCTTAGAGCTTCAGTCCCTGCATCGGTAAAAATGCGAACCAATGAGTGTCTGTTACATTTTAGTTGCTCCTCGTTTCATTTAGCTCATTCTGGCCCTTGTCTGGGGTCGGCAGTGCTCCCACAGCATTACATCATTGTATTTCTCCTCCATCCCCCTGCTAGATCTGGCACCACTCTTTCTACAACGAGCTTCGTGTTGCCCCTGAAGAGCATCCAACTCTGCTCACCGAGGCGCCCCTGAACCCCAAGGCCAACCGGGAGAAAATGACGCAGGTAAATATCCACTTTGGGACCCAGGGCTGTGGGGTTTGGGGAAAATCCTGTTTGGAAGAGGCTGTGCAGGTGAGCAGAGAGATGGCCCACCCCAGCAGTCCACTCACAGACTGACAACTTTCCAGAAACTCAGAGTCCAAAGGACAGGAACACCCTGATGGTACTCATATTCTTACTGCAGGAGCTACTCCCTTTCACCTCCAAGAGCAATAGGGCATTTAAAATATTTAATTGAAAAAGCAATGTCTTTAGGTTAAAACTTCTAAGGAGAAGTCA